AAATGCAATTTCATTTTTTATTAGCCCAGATTCTTTTGATAAGTTTTTTTTATTTGTTTTGCGTATTGTTTGTCAATTGCCGAGACTTGAACAACTAAATAGAAAATGAAAAAGATAATTTTGGCCTGATCATTTTTCAGTCAAGTTCTTCAAGTCTTACTATTTATCTCCGATGGCATTAAAGCTGTTAAGGTGAAGCCTTTGTATTCATTTTTTAAGACAACTATTGTCTATTATGCCTTATTCACTAACTTTCTACGCGTTTATATATGTTTTTCTCGCCACGCACAATAAAAACAACACTTACTTGAAAAAAAAACTGAAGTTTGGGTAATCTGAGCTTAAAACAATGGATAATTATAATAAGTTCTTGAGTTTATCGTTATTTTTCACCCACAATAATTGAAAATATACCCAGACTGCTTTACCCAAGTAATCCATATTTTTAGTAAATTCCATGTTAACTTTTATGTAACAATTGTTTTTGATAACTGGTGGCTGTTCATTTAAACTTGTTATTACAATCTCGGTATCAGGTTTTTAAAAAACCCATAACGTGAAAATTTCAAAGGATTTGCCTTTTTGACACTGTTTTTTTTAAATAATTTTTGACAAAACTTGAAAACGAAACGCCTTAATCACTTCTCAGTGTCTTGATTTTTGAGCGAGTTTATATGTTCAAGCTAATTATAAGGCTGTGTATTTCACCAAAAAATTGAAGTGATCAAACTCAAAAAACTGATCAGTTATGTCTTTTCAATGGGTTATGACACTTCTCTTCTTCTGTGTATATAAACTAACCGAAGTATCAACCAGCCGCAAGTTTGTGAGTGTTATTCAATAGTTTGTAACAATTATGTAACAGATACGAAAGTCATGCAATTTTCCTTGATGTGACGTAACTTTTCTGCTGGTTTCTATACTCCGCGCATTTTCAGTTGGTTTATACTTCGGTTCGTTTATTTACTCTCTACTTTTTGTTCTTCTACGTCCTAAGTAGTTGAAAAATTGGTTCATTTTTTGGTTATCTTCTTTCTCATGGTAAAAACCTGAATCGTTTTTCAATTTTTTTTCCAAAAATGCAACAGCTTACCTTTTGACTTTTTTCAATTGAAAATTTTTCAGGTAAAAATTCAAAATCGTCAAACACAAAATTGCTTTTCGAATCGTTCCCGAAAGCGATAAAAAATGATACATAAAAAATAATCATAATGATAATAACTTTTAGAGCAAAAAAGTCCATTTTGAATAATCAATTGTAATCAATAATTTTTTTAAATTAATTACTTGAAAAATTAACTTTTTTGACAGCAATGCAATCAATTTTAATCAATCATGAGGGAGGGAAAACCATTTTTTTTGTCATTCTGGATGAAAGTGACTAATCAGCTTCGAGTTTCGAAAAAGTAGATTAAACGTTTCCATCAACAAATAACTACAATTTTTTAAACTTAAATAATTTAACATAATCGAGTTTTAACCATGAAAGTTCGAAACGGATTAGTGTTATCAAGTTTAGCTATCAAATTTGTTGTACAATTATTGTTAAAATCGACTTTTGTTAAGGGTCTAAGATTTTGAAAACTTATATCATTTAGGGAAAAAAATTTAGTAATTGGGCAAAACACGGATCAACTTTCATAATTTAAAAAAAATGTCTTTTTTCTGGCTACTGAAAAAGTAATTAGGGTTTAGAATGAATCAAATACTATTATCTACAACAAAAATTCTGATTGTTCAATTTCGAAAAAAAATAATCGGCTTCTATATTTTTTTTATTCGTGTTAAAAATCATTGTACCAAAAAAATATTTCTCTGATTTGCCTGATTTCTTTTTCTACCAGTATCTAAACAAAAACAAAAACTAGAATTTACAAGTAATTTTAAAAAAATTGACACTAAAAGGGGTTTTAATCCAATTAGATTGCGTGCGCATACCTAATAGGATAAAAAGATTTTAGTGTCAATTTTTTTAATTTGCTTGTAGTTTCTAGGCTTTGTCAATGTTTAGATATTGGACAGTTCAATGTTCAGCTAGGACTAAAACGTTTTCGTGTTTTTTTTTGCTTTCTAAAAAAAGTAAAAGTACATGTTTTTTATTAGTGATTTGTTTGAAATCTGAATGGCAAGAGAACTAAACAACTCCATGGAAGTTTTGCCCAAATTTTTACACAATTCGCAGAATTTAAAAAGTATAACGGTCTTTTCATCGAAGCAATGACAAAATTCAATATGTTTTCATTCATGAGATTTTTGGTTAGAGATAGTGTGAATTTTACTCCTTTTCAAACTTCTCAATAACTTTGTCATCGATCAGTTTAAAATCGAGTGTCTGAAAAATCAATTAACGATTTGATGTTTTATTTGTTATTGTTGTTCCGACCAAGTTACTGGAAATAACCAAATAACGCAGCAGCGAATTTAGGGGGATGAGACTCAGCTCTTTTTACATGTGATTGTTTTTTGTTATCTTATTGGGGTTTGAAAGATTCTAACTTAGGCACTTTCGGATAATGAACGTGCGATTTATGAACGTGCTTCCCTTCTTCCCTCAGAAAATTGACTCCCTGACAACCCAGAGGGTCCGCTCTTTGGCTGTATTATAAGACCTTCAATATTGGCTGGCTGACTCTAAACTTTTTCTAAAGACGCCTTCGACGACTATATGTAACATTTTTAAGCAATTTCTATTTTTGAGCTAAATAACAATTTGGCTATTTTTGTTATTTTGTCTAGATATTATGTTTAATCCACGTTTATTTTTGGAACCGTCTTTTATCGGACTAATAATGGCTTTAACTATTCCCACGCCATTGGTCTCGATTTCTGTCATCACAGTACAGATGAAGTCTCAAAGCAGAACGAGCTTTAGAATAAGATTTAGCCTTAACTGCAAAATGTATTTCCTTTTTGGAGAACTGATTAGCATTTTACATTATACTTTAATACTTCTTTCCGGTGACATAGAACGTAACCCCGGTTCCGATGCATATTGAAAAAATTTTGATTGGTGTAATGTTCTAGATAAAAACCTATTTCAATAAAATTGCAGAAGCATTGCAAAGAAACAACATCATTTCAAAAATCTAGTCAATGATATTGGAAAAAATAGTATATACGGTTTAACCGAGCCTGGCTGATTGATAAGGACACTTCAAAGCTTGTTAATCCTGATAGAAACAGTTTTTGCGTGGTACCTTGTAAATTACAGACCAATATCAATTACTCTGGTCATGTCAAAAGTATATAAAAAGTTTAGAGAAATTCAACTTACGGAATAGTTAGGTCGAAAAAAATTCTTACCCTAACTCAATTCGGTTTCAAGAAAAAATATTCAACCATGAATGGTCTAGTAAAACTGACTGAAACAATTCGAGCTAAAGTTAGTGAACATGAATTTGTAGCATCCGAACTACTAGACTTATCGAAAGCCTTAGGTTCAATAGACATCAACTTTTAATTATAAAACTACAAAATGTAGGTCTCAAAAGGTCTTCACTTGATTTTATAAATTGCTACTTAACTAATAGGTATCAAAAGGTTGTGATAACAGATGCTGAATCCGATTGGATTGTAGTAAGTAGAGGCGTGCCACAAGGCAACTTTCTTGGGCCTCTTTTTTATAACCTATATGTTATTGACATGAACAGCACCGCAGATCGCCAGATTAAACAATACGCAGATCATACAATTTTACACTCGACTTGTGAAAATCTAGAACTATGCATTAGCAAACTTGACAATTCAGCTAGAAATTTAATCTGTTACTTTTGTTTTCACAATCTGAAAATTATTTCGGAAAAAACTGACTTTGTAGTTTTTGGTTAAAAAATCGATTTAAAAAAAGTGAGTTCCTTATTGTTGGTCAGCTAATAGAAGAAAGAAAAGAAAAATACATTTAGAAAAAATTATTGAAAAGAAACTGAAACATCAAGAACAAGTCAAACAGTTACTCTTGAAAATGGCACAGGCTTTTAAAGCTCTATATACTATCAGAGAATGTAAAATTCACAAAAGGCAAACCATGTTAATCAATGCCCTGATCTTAAGTCATCTACACTATTTGGCGTTGATGCTTGCGACAATAGCTCAAAATCTTATCATAACAGTTGCAAAGCAACTAAGTTGGGCCGTCAAAGCCTGTTGGGCCGTCAGAAATTTGAGTCCTCTGCGGAGCTTAAAGCAAAAATTGGCATATTACCAATAAGAATTCTTCTCAACTATAGAACTATAGATTATCAACATATTGTAATCATGTTATTTCTCAGCAGAAACCCGTTTTCAATTCGGAAAAAGGTTTAAGCTTACTAAACTCGGAATTTTATTAACATCCTCGAACTGAGAAGCTCTTCTGAATCAAAAGCTCTCGCAGTAAGATACCCGATAAACGTGTTATTAGGAAATGCATTTTGCTACACAACAACATCCCATTCAAATATGAAAATATGTAAGCGATATTGATTCCACGAGTAGTACAACAACTAAGATAAGATACATAAGATACAAATTTTTCTTGATTAATTTAAGAAAGATCCAGGACAAGTGACCCATGTTAAAGTATGTTGGAAAGAATTTAGGTTCAACTTTTCTAATATTTTTATCAAACTACACTAAAAATGTACACTGTCTGCTTTTGTGTAATTGTAACACACTAACGGGAAATTCAGTGTGTTTTTTTGAGGGCGATCGCTCCGAAAAAAAAACAATTTTTTGATCAAAACAGCTCAAAAAGGGCCTAAAAACGCATTTTTGGACTGCTGTTTTTTAAAATCAATTTAGTCGACTTCAAAAATTTAGTTCCCCCCTCGAGAAATTCCACCCCCTGAATTGCTTGGAGAAAGTATCCGTCAGAGTATTTTCGAAACACTATGATTTATTTGGAAACTCTTTCCTATTTTGCAGTTAACACCTTTTAAAGAGTGTGGACTTCGCGGAGAAGAGGAAACAGTAAGGCAGGCAAAGAAGAGAAAAAAAGTCAACACAGCGTATCTAAGAGAAAATGCAAACAGTAAAGCCATATAGAAAACGTACGAATGGTTGCTCCCAAGGAAAACATGTTTACGCACTGCTCAATTTACCAACTGAGCTTTAAGAAAGCAGCTTCACAATCAGCAGAAAAACTGTCTTTTTTCTCCCAGGTAAGAAAAAAGTGACCCAAAATGAGAGCGTTAGGAAATGAAATCTACTTTTCATGCCATTTATATGGAATCATTTATTTGGAAACATAAGAACAGGAATTCAAACTCAAAAAGTCTCGAAGATTTTTTTGGAGTAATGGCAGTGCTGTATTTTCAAAGCGCATTTCGTATTTTAGCGCGTTTTTACAGACTATTAATTTGGAACGCGTCAAAATTGGTGCGTATTACTGCGATTAAAACCAATTGAAATCTGAAATAACTGAGGAATTTTAGACTTTTGCAAATTTTTGCAACAAGCCTGTCTTTGGCTGCTGACGTTTAAAGAAAAATCTAACGACAAAAAGGAAGGTCTGGGTAATATTTTGTCAAGCCACGATTACCCCGAAAGATATCAAGGAAACTGCCTGTTCATCTCCCTTTTTTTATTTTATTCTAATAATTTGAAATTCTGTGTTGTGTTTATCGAAAAATACAACAATGAATTGACTCACAACCTTCCCTTATACAAACCGCTTGGGTGGGGCGTTGAATGTCGATAGGAGTTAGGGTTTTGCCTCAACTTAATCCAGCAAAATAATAATTTCACCGCGGTTTTTATTTTTGACATTAGACTTTCTGCACATTTATTTTCAGTTGTGTTTCAGTAAAACTGATGTCGCTGATAACACTCTTTGGTATTATCATCTCATTGCTTAACGCCCAACTGGCGTCGGCTTCGCACGAGGGTGCTTATTGCGAGGAAGATCATGACTGCTACCAGAGATACTGGAATCACTTTTCCTATTCTTCAGAATACGTGGGACTTGACTGCTGTCTGGATGATAAATGTCACAAAGACTGCACAGGGTTAGCATTGTGGAACCACAAAAACATAAAAATCCTTCATTGTAACGGGGAGGGGGATTCATCCACTTGTGAACCAATTTTATGAAAAATTTTATTAGCCGTATTTCACGACTCATAGGCCCCTCGTATAATTGCTATGAACAACCAGCCATCAAAACCAACCCCATTGCCTTTATAGAGCAATATTTCGTGTAAAAAGGATAAACTTAACATGTAAGTCGCAACTTAAAATTCAATGCTTAAACGGATTTAGTGGAGGATGTTTTAGGGTGATGTTTCTGTACTTTCTGTGGCGTGTTTGTCTGCCTATTACTTGCTGTGGAGGATTTTTATTCGGACTATTTGTTGTCTTCGTCACCATTCGCAGAAGAAGTAAGTTAATCAATACACAATTTAATTCAACAGTGGAACCTGATCTAAACTACATTTTATGATTGGATAAATTAGATATTTTACCACTGTAAAGTATTTAATATTAACCAATCATGATCCATCTAACTAACAACCCACTTATTTGTAAGTGCTGAAATTACTTGTAATTTCAGCACCAGAGAGATTTGAATTTAACTTAGAAATTAGTTGGACTCTCCAAGAAGACTTCAGCGGCCGCAATAAACCAGTATACCCTAGATCTATTGAGCCTAGCAGAGACTAGTTAAACAACCTGAGACTAGATAGTATAAGAGTAAGATTAGGATCGGTATTAGACTAAGAAGTTGCACGAATCTATCCGGCCGAAAATAAGATAGCGTGACGAGCAGACGGTGTACCCTATCCGAAATTACTCTATGAGTTAACCACCTCGGTTATAACTCATCTGGTGCGACCATAAGTCTCGAACAAGACCTTAATAGCTTAGAATTAACCAAACATAGATTAGAATTTAGACAAAACATTTTTAAAATGTTACACGACGATAATTTAATCGAAATGTCTCTACGACTCAATAGATCAAAGCCAATATTCCGAACGATAAGAGAACTGCCCGGAATTGGAAGAAGACCTCGAACCAGAGACGACATACGACAAAGTAGAAACTTACCAAATAGTTATATGATAGTACGGCAAAAGCCAACTTTTATGTTTAGAATCTTGTTAGCAATGAATTTAGATTTTCATTTGCAAACTTAAATCTTGAAGTCAACCTTCATAATTATTTCAGGCGCTAAAACAAAACTATTAATATACAATAACGATTGATAAAAAGATCTCAGATCGTTTCCCTCAAAATTTTGCAGTATTATATAAAACATGTTTGGAAAATATTTATTGAAAAACAAAACAAAAATTAGTAGCATGACAATAAATTGTTAGTAATCATAAATCATCCAATTGTCCCAGCTTCATCACCTAAAACATAACAGCAATCATAAGCTCACTAATATCATTAAAACACTAAATCTTTTTCTTAAACAAATTTAAACCATTTTAAACTTAAATTCACTTAATTTTCAAACCAGATCATCAAGGCTTATCCTTGGATCTAAATTCAATTTCTATTTAATTAAAATTTAAAACTTGATCATCAAGGCCTATCCTTGGATCAAAAAGAACAAATTTGTTCTCCCCCACCCACTTAGCTAGTGTCTAACGACCTCAAACGTCGATTCACTCTCCAACTCTTTCAAAAAACCCAAGACTAATAGAAATTTTTCAACAAAACTAACCATTTAAATTAGGATAAACAGTGAAGAACTTCGGTTATTCATCCTTCACTTGAACCCTCTTCTTATCAAGACCCAGGATAAATCTTAGACTTAGTAAGTTTAAAATAGTATCTAACGAACTACTCGCCTTCTAATTATACCTGAACCTTGTGGATCGATTTACTATTCTCCAACCCTTGAACACAATCACTACCCTTAAGTAAGATTAAGTAAGTTAACACCTTAGCTTATACTAGCCACGAGAAAGTAAAAAATCATTCTTCGGAATCGATATACTTTTCTCTCCAACCCTGAAAAATAGACCCAGGTTAAGCTAACCAAAAAATCGTAAGGACTAACAATTTAAGAAAATAGAAATCATCTAACAACTTTATGCATCTATCATCCTAAACCTTATGCCATTTAAAAATCTAGGAAACAAACAAACAATCGATTTGCACAACTGTGAAATAGAAAACAAAAAATACGACCTTGTAATCACACCTCATACACAAACAGTTGGATATATTAGAACAAAACGACAAACACTAAAAAGAAAAATAATAACTAAACAAAGACAAATAACACGAAAAAGATTTTCCAAAAATAGAAACGCATTTTCAGAATCAGAAGCCAGCAATTTAGACAAACTCTATAAATTAAAAGAATCTATAGATAAAAATTGCCCCATTCACGATCAATTATATTTTTCCGACTCAGAAACAACTTCAAATTCATCAAAAAGAGGAAAAAGAAGAATAAAAAAGCAATATAAACACAAACCAGTACATTTATATAATTGGAATAAACCAATTAGACACATCGATAATTACCTATTAACAGTCATTAAACGAAAAAATGAGCCAAACACACACTCCAAGTGAAGATAGTCCAGATGATGACGATATCTTCCCCTTCCTCGTAGATGCACCCACTAATAGAGGACAGCATATACTTTGCAAAAATTTACTACTAGATTTATTTGAACCCGGAATCAGCCCATGTAAAACAGAGTTCCCAGATGTAAAGATCAAAAGACAAATTATTGATCACTATTTGAAAGATATATGTAATTTGACACAACACTACGGAATCTACACCATAGAATTAAGCTCACCAAACCCGAATCACCGCAAATATGTAATTCAAACAGACGACCTTGATTTAGAATTTTCAAAAGTATTCTCAGAATATATAAAAAGCATACAATATCATAACTCACAAAGAGCAAACTCCATATTTACTAATGAAGTTTTTGCAATAATATATAGTTATATCTCAATATTAGAAAACGAAATCCCAATCTCAAATGTCTCACCGACAGAGACATCTAAACATATAAGGGTACGACATGAAATCACACTATTTTCATCTTTTCTAAATATAATTAAAGAAAATTTCACTAAAGATGATGTTTCACAACAAACAAAACATGACATACAAAAAATTTTGGCATGGTTTATAATAGATTATTTCACACATAATATAGATTTAATTTCACAAGCAAGAAAAAGTTTTAGACCTCAAAATTCAAACGATGATACCGCCATCACAGAACAGTCAGACTACGTTTGGGACCCCGAATGGTCTCATTATGCATTTATAAATATCCCACAATCAATTGCAAGTCAACAATAAGTACAATATCTTATATAAGAGATTATGTAGGAGTAGTACCATTAACCATTGATGCAACACCATTAAACTACAATACATTTTTACCTGATACTCGAAATAACAGTTTAAACTCGACCGTCATACACAATGAAAACCTTAATGGAACCAGGAATCTCACTCAACAAGATATTCAGACACCATCACACTTCATAAATGAAGAAATTGTCCAAACAACAACAACTACACAACAAAGTATTTCACCGATACGTCCAAATTTAACAACACCAAGAAATACAAACACTTCACTAACACAGGTAACCTTACAATCAACCGTTAAACCTTCGGTTGCTCCAAAATATTCACAAATGGATTACCAAACATATAGACCCATGACAATACCGTCAAAAACACGCAGAACGTTCACAAGAAACAATTTTGCGGAACATAATTATAATTATACACATTCATCAAAAACAAACTATCCTCCACGAAATAATAATAATAATCAAATCAGATCTCGATATTGGAATAATCCAATGGCAACAACCAATTCAGTAAATTTTCAAGCTAATCCACATCCTCCACAAAATCATAGCGAAAATTACCCATTCTTTCAACAGAATAAAAATAAAAAACAAGCACCTCATCAATTGGATTATCTATCCTCTGATGATGATCATTTACAACCAGATATATTTGCACCATATACCCAAGAATATCGCGGACAAGGAATGCAGAAACCATATGAATCCATACCTTATGGGTGAATCATCAATAACATCAAACAAACCATTAATGGTATTCACAAGAACAGACCCTGAATATTCTGTAGAAGATTATTTAAATGCAGTAACAGCAAATTTAATTTTAAATATAGGACCTGAACCAATTAATACGCCATTACATCAAAACTGGATACATCGACGCACAGCGTTGATACAAACAACCTTAGACGGCGCAGCCCAAAAATGGTTTTCAGTATTGCCTAAAGAAATAAAATCAAATTGGAAGAGATTCACACAAGAATTTTCAAAAATGTTTGACTCCGAAAGAAACAAACAACAACAAAGAGTTTTATGTAATGAAATTCGCAGATTACCAAATGAAACCATCAAACAATTAGCAGTACGTATCGAAACACTAGTTCGAAAAGCATATTCATTAAATACACACGACTATAAAAACACAAAGATGACAGAAATCTTAATGATGACCTTAACACCTCAATTAAGGAAAATAGCAATAAAAAAGAGAGCATCACATCCCTCCTCAATTCGAGAGCCCGATTTAGATTTTCGAAAACTAGTAGACAAGCTAGAGCAAGCGGAAATCACAATGAAACTTGAAGAAACAGAAAATCTGAAATTACAATACGTTAACCGAATTGAAACAAATACCACAAATATCAATAACATACAGGATTCAGATACAGACCTCGTTGAAAAAATCACTGAAATACTCAATATTTATGAAAAGCACCCAAAGTTTAAAGGCAAACCATCTTTCAAAAAATGGTGTAATTATTGCCGACGATACGGACATAGTATTTCTGAATGTAGACAAAAACAACAAGATAACCAAAACAAACCTCAAAAATATAAAGAACCAAATAAATCATTCTATCAGTACATGAAGAAAGATCAAAATCTACCGAACAAAAATGTATACAGCAACAACAGTTCAGGAAAACCACTTCCGAACAATACCAATTACACGAGAAATCAATCACCATATAACTCAAGTTATAGAGGAAGATCACCAGAACAAAGAAATACACAAAATTCGTCACAAAATCATTACAATAGACCAAATAGTCGAAATAACTACTCCAGATCAAGTTCAAATACAACACAATTTGTTTCTAGATCTAATGCCCAATCAAGAAATAATTACTACCCAAACAATCAATCACGAAATTCATCACACAAAAGAAATAGAAACTACTCCAATAATCGGAATAGAAGTTATTCAAACAACCGAAACTAGAATTACCCGAACAATCGATCAAGGAATAACTCATATAATAGATCGAACTATAACAGACCAAACAATAATTATCAAAACAGATCACGGAATAATTCACAAAATCGACATTCAAGTTATAATAAT